ACGAGAGTTGACAAATTTTACACCCAAAGTCTACGAGCAATTGTCTTCCTTAACCTTCAGTATTTTACTTTTTGCTCACAATAAAAGTGACTTTTTTTGTTTTGCGATAACTTTTTTTTCATGCAATCTTGAAATTAAGAAAAATACCCATGAACATGCATTGAGTTTTTTTTTTTTAATTTACCCACTCATTTATTTCTTTTGTAGGATTCGCGATATCTTAAATTTGAAATAATGGTTACCAAGACGGTGTGTTACTCGTTGTTCGCCATAGCTACTCTACTTCTCATTAGTGCGCATGCCTTTGCGAAACCAATAAGCGACGAAGGAACAGGTACTGGATATACTCCTAAAGCTCTTCGCATTGCGATTAGTTTAAGGCGGTTCTGACTCTCTGTTGGGCTTTGTTGTTACTATGGAGCACAAGAAAGATATTATTATTTTCGGGGAGAGCATCTTGCAGCACTGTCATCCCCAAGGCCTGCTAAGCGATAACAAAAGATAATGTTTGGAAAGTTTGTAATCGAGTGATACATGCGACAAGACACAACCCTAATGGGGAATTGTTCATTTTCATTTCGGGATATATGTATTAAGGTACAATGATAGAAAGACTGTTGGATAATTGTACAAAGAGAATTTAAAAATGAACTTAGTAGTGACAAAGGCGTGGCTAAATATTAGATCTGGTGATTCCAGTTCAAAATTAATCCTTCACTCCGAAACTCAAACGGTTTCACAATTTGTTCCTTATAGTTCTGAATTCGCCACTATCAATATTTTTTGCTTCTCGCCAATTTGCGATTTTCTTCAAGTTACATACCATGATCTTATGAAAAAAAATTATTATCCCACCTGGATAATAATGCTACGATGTAATAATGGAGGTGGTTTGTGGTGGATGTTTACCGAGCCGCGAAGCGGCGAGATCAACATTCACCGCTAGTCACTAAAACCAAGATTATTTTAGTTAACAGAGGTAATACAGCACAAAAAGATGATTTTAAGTCCTTTATCCAGCAACGATTACATTGTTTGCGAGAAAATCCCGTGCGAGTTGCTCGAGGGTGCATAGCAAAGTATATTTGGAGAGTGAGTAGCCACTCAGAACGCGCCTTCAACGTTATCCACCATCTTAGTATATATTAAGAGCAGTTGCCTAATTTTAAGTGACGACAATCTCGATGGGGCTTTTAAAGACCATCGAAAAAAGATGTGACATCATAGATTTAATTGCTTGAAAATCTTAAGTGATTAGCACCAGACCATTCGGCTGCGTACCTCACAGCCGGGGGTGGGGGGGGGAAAGGAACCCAAAACCAATTCAATGCGTAACCGATTGGAGACCAGACCTAGAGCCCAGGACCACTTGGCTACACTGCCAACACTGGAACAAAGTGGTGCTAAAATTAAAAACTGTGTCCATCAACAAAGTTTTTTTTTCTCACTTACTAACCGAACAATGACTTATTTTGTTTCAGAAGATATCGCTTATTACACAGGTGATGCCACATTAGCTGATGGTAAGTCCCATTGTATCATTTTCTATGTTCGTCCAATGACAGAAAATTTCTTAATTCGTCTACGCTGAATGAGTGTGGTTATGAATTGTTTCATCTTGTTAATTTTGTTCAAAACTCTATCAGTTTAGGTATCACTCACACATTAAATTCATGCTCTGCTCTGCAGGTCCTCCTAAAAGATTACGAATGAACAGGCATGGCAAGCGAGAGTACTTCACCTACATCCCAAACGACTTCGCTGATGATTTAGCTGACAGTAAGTTATTTGTGTTCTATTTTATTTGTTTCCTACTTCTTCTTATTTGTATTATTTGTTTTTGCAATCAAACTTTCAAGATGTCAGAATTCGGCCATTTTGACTGACCATTCCGAATTACTTTTGGCCTCTTATGAAAATAAGTTAAATTTGCAAGTGAATGAAAACTTCTAATCATATAATAGGATAAGCACCTGGCTTCGCTTTGAAAAAGAGGCCAAAGGTAATGCGGAAATGGGCTATTGCGCTCGGTGATTTGCGAGTCCTTGATTATTGCAATTTAAGCAAAAACCATAACACGGTGCCGGTTCGAAAAAAAGGGGAAAAAAGGAAAAGGAAAGAAAAACTGGAAATTATTATGTTGGAAAAAAATGTAATGGGAGGTCATTTTAGGCAGAATAACGCTCAGCTCGGGGATTACTCGTTTTGAAAGGAAAAACTAAAAACCGAGATATGATAAAATCTCGCTGACAATATAATTGCTTAAATGTAGGCTTCCTGCAATTAACCTCGTTCCCAGGGCCTTTTCCCTTAGTTGGGGGTCCACCTCCAGCTAAGGGAAAAGGCCCTGAGAACGAGGTTGGGCTTCCTGGTGCCGTAATGATTCATTTATCTATTTGGATCAAATGGAAAAAGACGGGTCCCATTTTTATTTTAACTCAAACGTAAACCCTTTTCCACGTTTCTGATTCTAATGCCTCATTTATCCTTAGCACATGGCAAGCCTCTTACCTGCCTCCCCCCCCCCTCCCCCCTGTCTTCTGAACCCCCAACACTGAGGCAGAGGATTAGGAGTTTGATCGTAGTCGAGAGATCAGTTTTTCTTCTCTCTTTTTTGGTGCCAGGCTTCAACCTCTCTCTTTTATCATCATCTTTGATCTTAATTAGGTCCCCCAAAAAGGCTACGAATTAATCGCCACGGAAAATAAGAAACAGGATGGAATAGGTGAGCCAATAAGGATATCATGATAATTTACATAACCAACGATTTGATTTCAAAGCCAGCCATGATGAGAGAGTGTGACCACTAAGGTACGGAAAAGGGGACTCCTCACCGAGTGCCCTCAGCCTTTTGTGGAGCGTAGAAGGTTAATTAATAGGTTAACTCCTAGAGGCCAACAGGTATATAACTGTCAGTACTCATGACTTGTTTCTGTCTCATTAAGTGACTATGAGGTGGATGGTGAGCTAGTCCATGAGAATTTAACTGTCAGTACTCATGACTTGTTTCTGTCTCATTAAGTGACTATGAGGTGGATGGTGAGCTAGTCCATGAGAATTTAACTGTCAGTACTCATGACTTGTTTCTGTCTCATTAAGTGACTATGAGGTGGATGGTGAGCTAGTCCATGAGAATTTAACTGTCAGTACTCATGACTTGTTTCTGTCTCATTAAGTGACTATGAGGTGGATGGTGAGCTAGTCCATGAGAATTTAACTGTCAGTACTCATGACTTGTTTCTGTCTCATTAAGTGACTATGAGGTGGATGGTGAGCTAGTCCATGAGAATTTAACTGTCAGTACTCATGACTTGTTTCTGTCTCATTAAGTGACTATGAGGTGGATGGTGAGCTAGTCCATGAGAATTTAACTGTCAGTACTCATGACTTGTTTCTGTCTCATTAAGTGACTATGAGGTGGATGGTGAGCTAGTCCATGAGAATTTAACTGTCAGTACTCATGACTTGTTTCTGTCTCATTAAGTGACTATGAGGTGGATGGTGAGCTAGTCCATGAGAATTTAACTGTCAGTACTCATGACTTGTTTCTGTCTCATTAAGTGACTATGAGGTGGATGGTGAGCTAGTCCATGAGAATCTTGTCAAGTCATCCTGACTGTTTGCCGACACCCATTTTCAGTCCAAGGTGGAGGGATTCTCTGAAACGGATAACAGTCAGCACTCAAAACACAACACGACACAGATAACAGTCAGCACTCAAAACACAACACGACACAGATAACAGTCAGCACTCAAAACACAACACGACACGGTCTCAGCTCTCACTTGGAACTATCTAATTGGTGTCGATCGTTACCCATAAACCACCGCATCCCTTACCAGCTAACTGACCAGCATAAATATTTGCATTTGAGATCAATTATTGACATTTATCGATTGTCCCATCATCGAAAATAACCCCTTTTCCGCGTTTTACCTTAGACCCGTGATAGGTCTAGGTGCCTCGTCCTATTTTTGTAAATTCTCTACACCCGTTCTATTCAATTCTCCCCTTCCTGATACCTCCCCCCTCGCTGTCTCCGACCATTACCACCCCTCCCTACCCCTCAAGGTTAACTCTGTCTTCCACTTTTCTTCTTCTAGGACTGTAACATGCTTGCTTGGTGAAGAACAAAGAGCACATGACGATGTCGTACAAAATATATTTAGTTTATTGGTGACAGCAGCGTTTAATAAAGAATAGGAGTAAGTTGAACTAAATGGTAAAACGTCAAAGATTATTGTAAGTTATCGAAAAAATAAAGAAGATTTAAAATGAATCCGAAAGAATGAAATCTTACAAAAATCTTAAAGTTACTATAATCATGATCAGCCTTAACACTTCAAAAAAACCATGTGCATTGTAAACAGGCAAGCTTAGGATTGAATTGATTAACCTTTACAGTCAAAAGATTTAAACATCTCTCCGCCATACATTTCTTGCAATAACAGAGCTAGCTCTGAAAATATGGTGTTGAAGCAAATGATCTTTCATAGTTGATATTTCCCTTTCTATACATTGCTTTTTTGCTTGAAATGATAACTAGAAAGAGGGTCGTAATGGGGTGACGGCTGAAGTTTTGGCCAATTTACGGTTAACGGTTACTATCTTTCCATTGAGGTCACTTGAAAAATTAATTTAACGGTTAATTTTTTACTATTTTTTCCACTAACGGCTTAATTGTTCGGCCATTTTAGAGCTTACAGTTTTAAAACCCATTAAGTCCCTCTATAATTGGTTTTTGCTCAATTAAAGATCGCCAATGAAATTACTTCACACTTTGTCATTTTCAAGTTGGTATACCTTGGATTCTTGTACCGATTTTTCTATGGACAAATCTAAAAACCTATTAACATATCACACTCTTACAGTTTTGATCTATTGTCAACAAGAACAAGACCTTCTTTGTCGTTTTGTCTCTGGTCATGGCCGACCCACACGATGGTACGGGCCTCTTTAATCCCTTCCACTCTTCCTTGCATTTCCCGCTTTTCACCGTTTAAAATTACCACTGCATCCTCGCGTGTGGCAGGCGTTGCTAGGTAACAAGCATCAGCCTCGCAGCCAGTTACGATAGGACTCTCAGTGCGGATCCAGTCTCTCACTGCCGACGGTTTATCAGCTGTAGAAATAAACTTAAGAATTTTTATGCCTCTGGGATCCACATGCAGCACTATAATCGCCGATTGATCCTTTGACGTCACGTAGACGTCGTAGCCTGCGTCTCGTGCCCTAAAGGCGACGTGGCTCAGCAGGAGACGGGATTCTATTTCATTAAATAAGTAAATCTGCCCTGCTGGATCAATGTAGAGCGTTGATACCACGTTAAAATTCAATGTTATGACAAACCTCCCGTCGGGAGACACGAATGGTGTTCCAAAGTTAATCGAGTTTATCGCCTTGATTTGTCTTTCGTCCAAATCCATCACGATTTGTCCTTTAGCGTCTCGTTCCTCATTTGTGTAACACTGGACGAAAGCGTATTTGAAAGGTTGTGATACAACTAAACCGATTGTCCCGTAGCACTGGTAATCACTAAGATTATAAAACTTGGAATACTGCTTGGTAACCAGGTCCACTTCATGGATGCCTGGATCCATTACGTGAGTGACATAAGCATACTTGCTTTCCTCGTTTATCAACTCGCAGTTCTCTGCTTCAAAGAAGTCATGCGCAGGTCTGGGGATGCCATCGATCATTTGCGCCTTGATTGACGAGTGAACAGTCACTTTACCAGCTTCGTTTATCACAGAAAGTGTCCCGATGTCGTCTTCGTCTTCGGTGAGCACATCAAGTGAACTGTTTCCCCAACTTAGGATCCATACTGTGTCCAGGGATCTTAAAAGAGGAAGAAATAAAAAACGTTTTCACCCTTAGAGCAATTTTCAACTCGGATTCCTTTGGTTTGGCTTTACTTCGCTGAATGATTGATTTGGAACAGTCGTGCCACTTTCTCGACCAATCAGACTCAAAACTAGCTTTAATTTATACTTGCTCGCGCGTATTTTCCCGCGCGTGAGCAAGCGTGCTGTTTTTCCCAGCGTGCTGTTTTCTTTTTTATCTTTTAAGGGCTATTATATGTTTTTTTCTTCTGATAGGCTACTCAGATAATTTTAGTTTTGTTTTTATGACACTCACTCGATATGGCGCGCCTATATGAAGATTTATCCTGGTTTTACAATTTGTTTTTCTGTTCGTTTATAAGCTTTTTTATTTTCTCTAAGGCCACGAAAGAGAGACAGAGCTTCCTCGTTGTCCATTTGTTTGGAAAAGTGTGTTTCATCATTTAAAAACGTATAAAAATTTTATAAATGAGAAGAAATAAGAACGAAGTACGGAGCGAAAATAAATAAATCTTGGAGAGGTTTCCTTTTAAGCGACCCTTTCGTTATATGACATGCACCTAGAACAAAGTGACCGCAGTGTAAGTACCTGAGCCGCATATTTTGTTTCTGTTTATAGTGACACTTAAGTTCGCGTACACTAAAAGTGAAATTGCGGTCACCCTTACAGGAGACGCTGATAAAAATAAAAAAAAATATTTTTACCTGAAGTACTTCAACTTGTAAGGAAAGTCGTCGGTGGGCACTTCTTGAACGAATCTTTGAGCAGCAATATCCAGCACAAGGATTCTACGCCCTGGAAAATCCGCTGCGTAGATGTATTGTTCATTTACACTCACTGCTCCACCCCAGTTACAAGATCTCTCTCGGGCCCTAGTACAAATGGGTGATGATGTGCCATTTATGACGTCATCAGCGCTAATGCGAGTGACAGTGGACACTGTCTTAGGATCGATCACGTGAACACCATCCTTTGCGAAGACGTAGAACATGCGACTCCCAGGAATGGCTAAGAAAAAAAAAAAAAGATAGGTTAGAACTCATCAGTTAGACAAGAAATGCATTCTCTTTCCGCTAACTTATCTATGTGAGTGAAAAAAGCGGAAAATCAGTTAGGAACTGTGATGTGTGTTTGAACTACTGCTCACGTGGTCATCAGCTCGTCTTTGATCTGAGTCCAAGTAAATAAAGGCTGATATTTTCCAAAGAAACTGTTTGGGGCTGAGTCGATCGGTGGGAGTAACGAAATAATTTGGATATATCAACAAAGTTGAAATGGTAAATTGGCCACCGTAACGATTACGAAAGCTGACGTTTCGAGGGTTAGCCCTTCGTCGTTTCGATCGTTAGCCCTCCGACGAAGGGCTAACGCTCGAAAAGTCAGCTTTTGTAATCGTTACGGTGGCCAATTTACCATTTCAACTTTGTTGATATATCCAAATTATTTGAGTCCAAGTGCCTTCCTGACTTCTTTTTTTCTGTCTAACTGTCTGTTTATCTGACTTTCATTTTTGTCTATCTGTCTCTTCATCTCGGACTTTATGTCTCCTTATTAATCTTCGGAGTCTTATTGGCATAGAAAGTGCACACGACAAGCAACGATGCGAATGCATCCTTTAAAATTGATGGAAAAAGGCACCACGACGAAATGTACCATGATGCAAAACTGCTATAAAATTTTCTGGTTCATGCGACGTTCCCGACCAACTCAAAGACCTGTTCCACTAATTTTCGAAATACAAGTAAACGGAGAATTACATACGACCAGAATATCCTTAAGTAGTGGTAGACACTGTGAGAGTAAACTGTGAACCAAACGCATAGACCCCGATTAGGGCTTGAACCAGGACATCTCCAACTCAAATCCAGCACTATAGGGTTTTAATGGATAAATATACTGAATGGAACTTCTTTCAATTGATGTTACTCGCAAAACTTACCCGGGGCTTCTGTAATTGGCTCCCGGACACTGATCTTGACCTGCTCACGGTCCGTCCCAAAGTCATTGGAGGCCTCGCAGGAATATACACCATTATCAATTTGGGCGAGCCCCTTTAGAAAAAGCTCCCCATCTTCTTTGGTCAGAACACGATTGTTGGAGTTCATCTTTACATCATCTTTTCGCCACGTGATCACAGGAACTGGGTAACCACGCACTTGGCATCGGAGAGTGAGATCGGAACCTGACATAGGTTTCTCGTCGTTGTTGACTATAGTAACCTCCGGTGCGCTTCCTACAAGAACAATTAGAGACTCCATCACAATTCGTATTTTATAGTGCCCTCGATGAGTGGGTTGGCTGCCATGCTTCTTCGGCAAAGTATTCTGTCAGCATTTTATAAGAATACCACCATCTTAAATCACAACAACTTTGTACAGGATGAAACTGCGACCAAGCGTCTTCAACCTCGTTCCCAGGGCCTTTTCCCTCGTTCCCGTCCCACCCCCAACTCCACCCCCAACTAAGGGAAAGGCCCTGGGAACGAGGTTGCAAGCGTCTTCTTACGTTGCCGAGGCCTGCCAATCCAATTAATTCTGAACTCTTTCCACACTATCTTTTAAAAAAATCCTGTAGATTTTTGCTGCAAAAAAAAAAAAAAAAAAATTGAAGGAAACACCATAGGCCTATCATACCGAAACTCCATGAAAATTCATATTCGGAGAGAAATCCATCCACATCTTTATCCGCAGAGTTCAACCATTGTGTTGTATGACAAATTTTCAAGAGTTCCTTGATGTTGCTGTACATGATGTAGTCAGTGACGAGGCTTTTTAACTCATCACCGCTGATGCTGTGATCGTTGTCTTTATCGTACCGGAAGAACAACTCGTCAATCAGGATTTTTGTCGTCACTTCCCTGTGTATCTCTTTTTCAAAGGTTTCCAATATGAGTCGTTTTGTTGCGGATAATTTCTCCTTTTGGCAATCTAGGGAACATAATGAAGCGAATGCGTGATCATTGGCCTTAAAACAGAGTCATCGGCTGCCACTGGCAATTAAATAGCACCAAATTGTTGTCTGAGCCAATAAAAAGTTACATCGAAATATACAAACCTACCCTTGATTTTAGCCTTTTTCTTCAAGCAAGATTTTTCCCAGTCGATGCCTATCTTCTTGCCAGTCAAACAAGCAGATCTGTGCAGTTCACAGTGGTTCACATACAGGATTCCATCCTTCCCACACACAGGTTTGTGCCTTTTTTTGCACTGTGACACACAAACACACCGTTCAGTATTGTCTGGTTGGACTTGACATTCTTGACCCGTAGGACAAATCTGCTGACAATCTGCAAAATTAGAATAAAGCTGTATAAATCTGCCACTGAATATGTTTAGGTTTCAATAAAGATTAAAGTTCAATTTGCGCCTAGAAAACTAATCTTTTTCAATCTTAACTGGGTGATTTTACGCAATTTATCTCATAAACCTGCATTTCTCTTTAACCCTTCCTCAGGAAAAGCTTTTAAAAAATCGTTTATCGACTCTTTTTCTGCACTTTCATAAAAACGTGACATCCCATAAAACAATCCTTGATATTGCATCCAACAGCATTTTTTGAGCAAGAGGAGACTGGTCGTTTTTAGACGTTTAAAAACACAAAGAGAATTACGCGGGAAGCGAAAAGACAGAAAGCGATTTTCATGGCACAACATCAAAGGATATTCTTGCTTCAGTTATACATTTAATAAATAAAGGTGACAATAACTAACTTGGAGCCTTTGTTAGATTTGCTCTCTTTTTCTTCGCATCTCCATAGACCTGTTTGACAAAAAAAAATTAATCTTTTTTTTGTGATAGAAACACTGACCAGCCGCATCCTAACTGAAATAGTACACTTCGTCACAACTAAGTCCACTAGTGCTGCGGTTATTTGGAACATTAGATCGCCAGGGTGTTAGAAAATTCCTGAAAAGGTACTTGAGGTTTAAGGCAAGCATGGTCAGTTCGCCTAAACTTGTTTGGTGGTGAGTTACGTTTAAAGTAGAAGCTAACCCAAGAAAATTCCTTACAGCCCACTGCCTCTACCACAGATTAGTTACTTCCGGTACAGTCGCCATTTTTTATCTAATAGCCTTTTCACTTGTTTACATTGATTTAGAGTCGGGCCCAGGCTACCAGAGACAACGATATTGACAAGTTGAATTCGCATTCCCTCGACCAATGGTCGAAAAGCGAGAGAGCGAGAGAGAGCTTCCCGCGCCCATTCCGCTGCACAAGGGTAACGGAGGCTCAGGGAAAGAGATTGCACTCGTGACGATCAGCTGTACGTTGGCTGATTAAACGAGCAGCCGTCAATTAACGAACAAAAAAGGTTTGCTATGGGCTTTCAGTTTGTCAATCAAACAAAAATGAAATCAACCAAATTAATTAGGATAATAAAGAGAAGGTTTTTAAAATGTCCACATTTTTGTTCACTCAAACACGGTTACTATGAGGGCAAATCTAGAATCAAAATGATAGCTGTTTTGAGAAAAATTTCAATTTATTTAAAGCCAATTTTGGTCAGATAACTACACCAGACGATGCCAACCACAACTGATACCTTTTTTAATATATGAACACCATAGATATCATTGAATTATTCAGATACCCGAGCGAAACTGAGTTATTTGATGGACATGTACATGTCGTAGCAATCATTACTTTCTCTTTCAAGTACAAGTTCATCAATCAGTCAGAGATGAGAAATATTCTACATGTTTTTAGGGAGAAAACATCTTCGATAGCAGAGGAAAGGAAAACAGATGCAATAATAACTTTTATTCCTTTCCGTATCAAATTGGTCAATAATGCATGATTTATGACATCCCGAAGAGTAAATCACTTCTATGTAAATTTAAACAAAAGTTCGGTGAAAAATCAAGCCTTTGGGAAAAACTCGTTTAAGAAAGCAAATGAAATGTAATATTCCTTTGAGAAACAATTGTGGAAATTCTAGTTTTTTTTTTTTCAGGTCCCTAACATGCCATCTTTGCAACAGACTTATTGACCCTGAGGTGGCTTCTGTATTTGACCGTTGTTTCTTCAAATGATTTATAACCACAATCATAAATATTCAATTGGGCAGTTTTCTTAAAATAGTTAATGAAACTCGTGAGTTGTTTTTATTTTGTCACCAGAAGCTCTTTTGGAAAGAAAAGCTACGTGCAGTTTAAAAACGTTTTTCAATAAAGACTCTCACTAGCCCGATGCAAGATTAATGACATCGAAATGTCATTGGCTGTTTTATGGAAACAAAACGAAAGTTTGTTAGTTGTGAGCTGTTGTGTGAAGGAAACTTTTGCAATTAACTTCGTTTTCAGCTGTTACTACAAGATCTATGCACCGAATAAAACACTACAAGTGAAAGCAAATGTAAACCTGATTCCACAGACTAAAGGTTGTTTTTCTAACGTGATTTCTGTGGTAAAGAAAGTCAAACTCAGTCGCGCGGGCATTCACAAAGTGCTGTGTAATTACTATCCAAACTGTTTGGACTCAACAACACAGCGAAGAAGCTTACCGTGAGAAGAAGAAATACAAACGCGGTAATCAAGATTCTATAACTCATCTCTACCAGCCGTGCGGGGAAACAGGAATAAAACGGCGAGGTGGATCTCTTTCTCTAAGCAGCAAAACGCGTTCCTAGTGCAGCGAAGCGTACTCCGCGGGCACGCTGGAATGTGTCTGTTTACCCAATCCAGTAACGAGGAAGCCTTCTCAGTGTAGCACAGGACTTGTTGTCGACTACTTTGGTTATCTATCGAGAATAGACGGTTTTCTACTGCGTTTAGAAAGTAGACAGAGACATTACAAACAAAGCTCCCGCGGTGTTCAAAGCACAGTTTGCGCGTGACTTAAAAATAAGCAAAATTGATCATGACATGAATGCTTCAAAGCTATTTGCATAATGCTTTGTTGATTGAAAGAATAGTTGAGACAGATCGAGAGGCATTTCTCTAATTATGTCTGTAGACATAATATTAGTGATGGAATCGGTTAACGTATGGTTACCGAGGTAGTCCGATTTTTTTTAGCGTTGAAATTATTATTATTATTTTTTTAATGATTAAAAGTTTAATTATCGAAGGGTTTCCGCAAGCTAATTCAAGGCTGGGAAATGATTTAATTTTAACCCAAAAAACGTATCTCCACTCAAGAAACTAGCTATCTGTGTTCGTCGAAACAGAACTAAACCAACAGAACAGATGAGGCATGTAACGATCATTCGTGTTTCGTACACAGTTTTAATGGTTATGAAAAAATTAAGAGATTGAACGATAATTATTTCTGTGCCTCGTAACAAGGACTCAAGTTCGTAATTCTGACGCGATTAGTAAACCTAGAGGGCATGATATTTTCACTCTATTATGAAGCGGCTAGTTGGGACAACAATAAATCCTCAGTAGGTACTGAGGTGCATCGTTTCGGCTATCTTACGCGAGAGATTTTATGGGAGGGCGCGGGCAGATATCTGATTATTGTATGGCAAATATCAGTTCTTTCTAAAATATTAAAATTAACAGGAACAGAATGATATAAACTGGTAATGATTTATCACCATTTTTCTACGACAGTCTAGAACTTCGAATGCTTAAACATGAGCCATGCAGTTGATACAAAAAGTGACGCAAAATTTGAATACCTAAAACTAATTTTATTGCTATCGAAAAGACGTCTATTTATTCATTTATTTATGATTTATTAACTCATTTATATATCTGGTCTTTTAAGTTTAAATTACAACCCGAAAAGTGACTCTGCCAGCATAATAATTGACGAATAATTGTGAAACACATGAAACGTGATTGTCACGCGTGTGACATGACAAAGGTGATGCCAGGCTCCTCAGCTTTGTCCCACGCGTGACACATGGGACAAAGCTGAGGAGCCTGGCTCTCCTTGCAGAGCTCAGGAGTTAGATGGATTTGTTCAGAACAAAATATTTACAAACAATGATATTTCCAGTGTTCCTCTTCTCGTTTCTCTTGATCGCACAGAGCAATGCTCTTACCGGTAGAGCAAGAGATACAAACAGCCCATTTCGAATGAACAAGCTAAATGTTCTGTGGCAGAAAGCACAAAAAAAAATGTCCGAACAAAAGTTGGCTGATTTACGCCGCTTACTGGAGCTACAAGACAGGGCAGAAATCAAATGGAAGGATTTAAAAGCCAACGGAGGAGACGAAGACGGGGAAATGGAGGCCACGCTAAGAAGAAAGTTTTATCGAATACTGGAGCAGTTTGGCTTGGAGAAACATTATGGTAGGGCGGATGATGGAAACGAAATTCGAGACAACACAGCCGGCCGTGGCGTGTTCGGCGATAAACGGTTGAGTGAACTTTGGGAATCTGCAAAGAAACAAGGTGGGTTATTTCGAGTGCCAGAAAATCACAAAAAAAGAAAATATAAGTCATGTTAAAAAGTGCATTAGTCACTCTTTTAATGCGATAAGTTTTGGTTCATTGAGACTGTAGAGTGAAGCAGAAGTGTTTTTGCTAATCACAAACTAATGAGTCAGAAAGGTATTAGGAAAATATTCAAAGTTATTCAAAATGCGCTTTAATGCGTGCTAGGTTTAGGTGCCTGGATAATGGCCTAGCTCTTCACTTATTTATTTATAAAACGAATATACAAGCAGTAGTGTTAAAATATAACAAGGGTCGCTGTTTCAAACCAACTTTAATTTGCATTTTCTCTTTTTGACCACAAGATGCAAAAATAATTTGCGTCAGAAATGTTTAAAAATGACGTCGAATCACAAGGTGCAGCCAATTAAAAGTAGGTACAAAATGGAAAATAAAGAGGGGGCACAAAAGACGTAATTGTAAAAAATCCTGTACTCTATGAAATGAAGAAAGATCACTTATTCCTCTGGACTGGTATGTTTTACCATTACAGCATTTCAGAACTTGAACTTTCTGGCTCAAAAGTACATCTGCATGGAGAAGAATAGTGTCTATATGTGTTGATGTCTACATCTATACCTGTGGATATCTAAGATGTGCATATTTACAAACTATTGTTATTGATAATAACACTGAGTGGAGTCTGCATGTAGTTGGGTCTGTAGTAATAATAATAATAATAACAATAATAATAATAATAATAATTTATTGATTTATAGTGCACCTTTTAACATACCAGGTGATCAAAAGTGCATTACAATAATAACCTAAAACTGTACAAAAATCTACAATATAAACATTGCATCATTTATTTATATATATGCATCTAAGAAATATTAAAAGCTAATTTAAATAGATAAGTTTTAAGTTTTGACTTAAAATTAGAAATACATGTGATCATGTAGAGGCTTACAGGAAGAGGATTCCATAAAGTGGGCCCAGCCACGCTGAAGGATCTGTCACCAAATGATTTTTTCATTTTCGCCAAGGGATGTTTTAATAAAACACCTTCATTAGAACGCAGCAAGTAGCGTGGAATAGTCCTAATATTAATTAAATCAATGATGTAGCTAGGTGCCTTGCTATTGATGGCTTTGAAAGTAAACAAGAATATTTTAAAATTAATACTATATCTTACTGGTAACCAGTGTAAATTTATCAAAACTGGTGTGATGTGGTCATTCTTTCTAATACACATGGAAAAAACACATGCCTCTGATTGGCTTAAAAATGTGCACAGCTTGGTTACCAATCTTGCAAACTCTTAGTCATGAATACAGGGTGTTATTTAAAAATCATTTCTCCCACAATGTTTTTTGTGAACACTATTTTTACATTTATCACTTTAGGCAAATTTAACTCAGAGGAACTTAGTGATCTCCAAACTGAATTTAACCATCACAGAGATAAGCTGAAAGAATATAACCGCCTACTCAAAGTCTTGATGGAGCAGGATGAAATCTCAGAAAATTCAGTTTTATCTAAAGAAAATCTCAAGGAAGAACTACTGAAGAAATTACAAGATAAACTTCAAGACAGCCATGCTGACCTGACTGATAGCTTCGCAAAGCTGAAGGAGAAGGCGACAGGAGAGAAAGTGCATGGAGAATTCCGAGACCCTCGTGTAAATGAGTTGTGGGAGAAAGCGCAGACAGCAAAATTTACTGAAGAGGAACTAGAATCCATTAAGGTAAGTTATTGAGTAGGAATAGAGAGTAAAATTAATGCACCCAAACCATTGGTCCACAGAGCACTGAGATTGTTGCAGTTTCCATAGCATGAATTAAGTAATGAGGGGTATTATAGTAACTATACTCCTCCTGGAATGCAGAAGTCCTTGGCAGGTTTCCCCTTCCAAGCATGCTGTACCCACTAACACTACCTTGCATGGAGGGAAGCACGCTATTGGGGTATTTGCTTTTCTTGCCCAGGAACATAATGCAATGACTTGGTAAGGTCTCTGAAAGGTTCCTATATAAGCTTATGTTTAGTTTTATAACCCTTTGACTCCTAAAAGTGACCTGCATCTAATTTCTTCTTACAATAACATCCTTGAATGATGCATTAAGGTCATGAGAAGAAAGGAAGGGATCACCAACTAAAGAAGCTCAATCTTGAATGTTTTACAAATCCTCCATGTTGGCACCTTGGGAAATTAATGTTCAGAAATGCTTAGTTTTGCAATGCATTATAGGGGGATTGAAAAGCTACTTTAAGCTTTGCTTATTTGCTCCCCCAAAATTGGGAATCAAAAGAAGTTTTTTTTTGTGTACAGACAAGGATATTAGAAATAGGTACCAATTAAAGTTACCACTAAATTTTGGTACGTATGATTGGAAGATGGGTGTAAACAAGCTTATTTTATCGCTTAAACAGAATCAAGTTGATAGGTACGAATGGTGCAATCAACAGATTTATCTTTACTGTTTTCAACTGGAAAAGTTTTGACCCTGTTTTTGGTCAAGTTTTGGTCTGCTTAACACTGTCGGCCAACTGTTAGTAATGTGTTGGTAACCTGTCAGCTTATCAACAGCTAAAAATGGGAACCATTGTTCACTATATATATATATATATATATATACCAAGTGCGAGGGCCTTACTGGGAGAATATTGGCCCAAGGTCTTGACAGTACAGACCGAGCTCAGCGAGGTCCGTACAAAAAAGACCAAGGGCTGATATTCTTCCAGTACGGTCCCGAGCAAGCTTGGTTAATAAGAGATTTATTACACGACTGAAGTTCAAAGGGACACAAGTGCGGTATCATTTGGGACCATTTGGGACAGTGCCCGGTCCAATACTGAGAGAATATTGACCGGCAATAGAGCATTTTGATTGGTTGATTTTAGTTATTGGCCCTCTGACTGCCTGAGTCGTGTAATAATATCATTTAGAGAACAGTATGGAGAATATGCATTCCGATGTATATTAAGGGTCTATTTGTGTTATTTTTTCTATTCTAGAAAAAAGTTGAAATGGTAGTCTCAGTTACTTATTATTTCATAAGTGGCTATCAGTAGTGGAATACAGTGGGTGGCTGTGAGCATTGAAGAGGAAATACAAATTTGATAAAATATTATTTTGTCTTAACAGAAGTGGGTTACAAGCTTTGTGAGGCCTTTTTAGTAGTCAGCTTGTCACTAGCATTAATTTAACCCCTGGTTGTGTAAAATTGTTAGAAAGTTTTAGTTGACAGAAAAAAGAATCTGAGAAGAGTAAAGATCCAATTATTGAAACTAAGGCCTGAAAAATTTGCCTTAAGTTCTTACTATGTCGTTGCTTCCTTTTGTTGCAGCAAGAGTTGTACCATTTTGATCACAAAATAATGAAACACAAACATTTCAGAAAAGAAGCTGAAGAGTCTCGTCGTCTTGTTGATGATGGTCAGCACCATTTCAAAGAGAAGCACGAAAAACTGGCAAAGAGGGCAGAAGAACATGGAAGATGGGTAAGAGTCTTGATCTTAACAGTTGAAATATGAATTTTTTACATGACTTGACATTAATTTTACCAATGCATCACGACAAGTGGATAAAAATTGTTCAAGCACTCTCAATTAAACGATTTTTTTTCATTTCATACATAAAGTGATTTTTTTGCACTAAACAGACATATTTTAAAGATTAGAAGTGAACAACTGTGAAAATGCATTTTCCAATCAGGGACACAAACAATACTACTTCACAGTGTAAATCTCAGTCTGTGTGCAACAAATGATATTCTCTCACTTTAACTGCAGACCATAAAGTTTAACTTACACAAAACTTGCAACTTGCTACATGACCTGCACACAGGCCACCAAAATGGGGAATTTCACTGCAGATTTAGCAAAAAGGTTTTTTGTAGCTACCATTGTGACCAAAATGGTTGCAGCTTGGAACCCTTCATGAAATGTTGATTGTGTTCTGACTAGTCACCCTAGAAAGAGGTAAATGAGAGCAAACCGCAAAACCACCTATGATACTGCTCTTAAAGCACAGTTTTCTCATGTATTATAAATGTAACTTTTGCAGGTGAAGAAAATGCATTCAACATTGATGGACAAAGTTGCTGCAAAGATCGAGTTGTAGTAACTTTTAGTTACATATGAAGACCCACTCTAGCTTACTTGTTGTTAAGGTATATTTTAAAGTTAAGGCAGGACAGAATGCAAAAACCTAATTTTGGTTTATCAGATAAATAAGAGTTACACGGAGGTAGTTTTTTAAAGAAACTGGTGCTGCACACATTGGAAGGGGGTATTACAAAGAATTTTGTTTAATCAACCAAGTTGACAATGTAAATTGTTTCTAAAGCTGACATTTCATGTATCAACCACTTGATCATCAGCTTTACCGACTCTCCACAGTGGCCAATTCACATTATCAACCCAGTGTATTAAACCAAATTAAATAGTTACCCATCCACAAAATTATTATTTTTGTAAAACATAAGAACAAGCTAACTGTTTTTGTAGCAAAATAAATTCCAATCACCCAAACAAAGACTCTTTAATAGGTAAGACCTTTCTTCAAGAGGTAATTCCACGTGCTTTTTGTTAAAATTCTGTTCACTCCGACATGTCAGGTGTTGTCAAGTATCATTTCATGTGAGTGAAGCAAAAATTGTGCAGTTTTTTTTTTTCATTGCCTGTATAAGTGAATACTAAGTCTATTCTCATAATGAACAATTTGCCTGGAATAGACCTTTGGTTTTAAGAGTATCAAATAAAGATTGAGTTGGATGCAATGAGAGAATTGGGGAAACTCTGTTGTAATCATTTTAAGGCTGTCTATGGCTTTTAATCAGAATTGTATTTTACTGTGTAAAAAGGACTTTGTTCTTACTCCATGCGTTGATGCAAGAGAACAAACTACCTCAACCAATAAAACTATTTATTCTTTTCAATTCATCACACCTCTTAAAATAAAATTATCATATAATGTACATGCTATTTATTTTCCAACCCTGGGTATGTTTACAATAGTACTGTTGCTTGAAGGTCTTCAGCAAAAACAGTCATGTGACTGTAATGATGGTAGGCTTTTGCAGAGTACAATCACATGCTTGATACAAAATCACCATACAGGGTTACATATTGCTTGCTGGTACTAGTCAATCAACAATAAGTCATTAAGATTAATTTTTTTTGCATATCATGGTGTGTAACTTGCCATCCAGCATGACAGAATGTGATCACACATACCAGGAATGCCACAAGGAACCTACATTTTAAATCAATACATACGTACCGTATCTTATTTAATGTTTTTATATTTATGGCACAATTGGCAGTACTTGATTTTGCCATTTTGTTCAGTAGTGTATCCATTATATTTAATACCAGTAAAAAAAGCTACATAAATAAACTGTACATGTTCTGCAAGCATTTGTTGCAATAACTATCTAAATTATTTTGTACCTGTAAAATAGCCAATCTTAGAGCACACTGTATTTTTATTACTGTTGCTGTGCTAAAACGATTCCTCTCTTTCACTGAAAACTCATGATCAACTTGGGACTCCAAGTTGTAAAAAAAAAAAAAAAAATTAGTATCTGAGCAACTGAACACTTACCCCTCCCCTAAGCCTAACTTGTTGTCATTTGACTGTTGTTGGGTTATGGGAGGGGTGGGTGCACAGTAGTCTAGACACTGACTTTGAAAAATTCATTTACATGTTGTTCATCTTCATAACAAATTTTAACAACTGGGTAATGGTTAAAACATTTTACAAAATACCTTTGACTTTTTGTCTCGAGTTTTATCTAAAACTGATAAGAGACATAGGTTTTAGTCCCTGTAGAAGAATACCCACTGCATATTATAAAGTATCCGTCACATTATTTCCAATGCTCTTTCAAGTTTTCACCCAAAGACACATTTTTTGTGATAGATACATGTCTTCAATTTACACTGCCAAAAACAGAGCTTGGAAAAATAACTTCTCTAATTTTGGTAGTGTCGAAGAATAACGTCAAAATTTTTAAGATCATGTAATTATTATTCTCTCCCATAAAAATATTCTTAAATTTTATCATCTCTGACTGTGTGAACATGAATAATCTTCAGAAATGAATGATATTTCCTTTTTGTAAAAGGTAATACAAAAGGCTGACAAGTACAACTTACTAGAATCATTATTTTGTTCCCAAGTGATCAATGTTGCTCCTTTCAACAATATGCAATTTAACTTTTGCCACAATTGATTGTTAAACTAACAAACATGTTACCTTGAAGAACATACACTAAACATTAAAATCCATTATTCTCAACTTGGGATCTTGACCATTAGAAAACTCCCAAAACATTGTGTCACAGCAACGATGAAAGCAATGTATCAGGCAATCATAACTAACTTAAAATTGTGCAGTAAGCGGGTGCAGTAAAGATTAAGGCAAAAAAGTAAATCCCTTTGGCATCTTGTAAGAAAAGTGAAAATTATACTTTGCAAGAAGAAGTCTTATTACACGACTCGGGCAGTCGGAGGGCCAATAACTAAAATCAACCAATCAAAATGCTCTCTTGCCAGTCAATATTCTCTCAGTATTGGACCGGGCACTGTCCCAAATGGTCCCTAATGATACCGCACTTGTGTCCCTTTGAACTTCAGTCGTATAATAAATCTCTTATTAACCAAGCTTGCTCGGGACCGTACTGGAAGAATATCGGCCC